TTTGTTTAGGTCACAAATTCAATCTGTACTCGAATCAGAATCCTATCACTTGTGAATACTTTTTCCAGAGAGAGAGAGAGAGAAGTTGCTAGTTTGGTGCTTGGTTATTGCGTGAAAGCATGAATCTCGTCACAGATGGACGTTGGCTTCTGTGGAGCGGACACTGGTGTAAGTCGTGATCTGATGGTTTTGCCACGCTTCTGTAATGTTTAAAATAAGAATGATCACAATAGTGCTTCGATAATGATCCAAGGAAAGTGACGGCAATCAGACTGAAATATGGCGATAGATTACATTCGGATTTAAGTTTCGGCTGAGGCTTATACAAAGAGTGAGTTATTCATGAAATGAGTATATGATGGTTTCACACCGGAGTGGGGTAACTATTGACCAATCAGATGATTTCTCGCTATGAGCTTCAGTGTAAGCCTGTGATCAAATGTAATCCACGGCCATACCTCATTTTGCTTATCACTATCACCATAGGGATGATTTGAAAAGCTCTCGGAAATTTTTCCGAAATTCATTTAATCCACCGTGTTCAAAGCTTGAAAAGGGATTTGTAGACAACTGGAGCTCAAATCGAAAACAAATTGCTTTGACTATGAGAATAAAAAGATTGCGAAACGTTTCCTTAGGGTTCTCTAACTCAACGCATACATATGCAATGAAATACTTTATATCTTGATACACAATATCTAATTCAGCCGTCATTCGATCATTTGATCAATGTCCGACGATAGAATACTCGCATTAATCTAATTGTAATATCTGAGATTTGAATTTATTGTTGGCAGCAAAATGCAAGAGGTGAGTTCCGAAAAAGATTCCAACTACCGAATCGTACATTCACAAACAAACCTGCATTGCGTTCTCGTACAAATAGATTCCATACGCCTCCAATTCTTTTGCGTATTGTTCAAATCTTTTGATTTGCTCATCACTTAGATGTCTTGGTTCTTTACCGTAGAAATACGCAACGTTATTCTGAAATCACTCCTCATGTGTTAATAATGAAGTTTCTCCTGCGATAACACGATCAACTGCTGAACAAATTGAATCAACAATGTCAACATTCTCAAGCTCAAGCGTATCGGCGCAGAGAAGATGTCGTATTATGCCTTCCAAAAGGCTTCTTTTCCTTCAATTTTTGCTCCTCTTCCTTGAACCAGATTTTTGAACGATCTCATAAGAACATATTTTGGAGATTATGCAAATAAAACAATTCATATCGCTCTGTCAAAATGTACTCTTTATACAATTGGTTGTAAAAGTATGAAGAATCAATCGTATTTCAACGAATTTTGTAATTGAACTCGCTAAACAACCCATTAACTATAAAGATTCCAGTTCATAGATTCGCCTACCGCAATCACAGTCACTCATCATTCAGTATTTTAACAGCTGATAACTTACAACTATAACACATCTGGAGAGATTGTATTGTGTCACATCGACGCCAAAGCAAAATGAGCGACTGGCCGGAACGAATGGCCATTCAAAGTCCTCAGGAGTGGTTCTGTTGTTTTGTTCAAAGTCTTCGAGGAATTTCGCTGATGCCTAGAAATTAAGTTGGGCAATTCATCGATACTACACGAAATGCGAAGAGATACTTTCACACCTCTAATCGTAAGCTTAGACTATAATTTTGAACCCGAACATCTTCATACAATAATTTACTTTCGAAAACGGTTATTAGGCGAAAACATCTTTTTTTGCATTCTTATAAGCATTCAGAACTTTTCTTGCGATCCAAATTAAGAGCCGATTAAATGAGCAATTGCTCTTGTTCAATAGGGAATCCTTTGAATGA